CTTAGTATTTTTGGCCTCTGATCCTTAGTACTCCTCCAGTTGTCACAGCTGGTATGTTTCCAAACAGTCCCTTGATTTTGGTGGTATTTATATATGTAGCAGCATCCTCTTTCCCACTTGTCAAGAACCATAGTATTAAAGAATTGAATATCAAATTTTGTGCAGTGAATAGTTCTTTGGGATTGGGGTAGTAAGATCTGAGAGTCAGTCTTCTGTGAGGACCAGACTCTGAGGACCCAGATCTTTTAGTCAGTGAGAAGAGGTTATCTCAAAGTGGGTTGATACACAGGAGCAAAAGCGAATCAGCAAATTAAGAATGTACAGCAGTGGGTGCTGGAGTGATAGCACAGCAGGTAGGGTGTTTTCCTTGCACACGGCTGACCCGGGTTCAATTCCCAGCATTCCATATGGTCTCCCGAGCACCTCCAGGAGTAATTCCTGAGTGCAGAGCCAGGAGTAACCTCTGTGCATTGCCAGGTGTGACCCAAAGAGCCAAAAAAAAAAAAAGTAAAACAGTGTCAGAACCTGGAAAAGAAACAATGACTATAATCCCCACAAGTATCTGTTCAATATTTACAATGTGTTTAGCACTCTGGAATATCTTGAATACACTCAGTGATCCTAAGGATTGGAAGTGCCACAGAAATTCAGAAAGTGGCAGTTGTGATGTGGTACATGATAAATAGATGAATGGAAAAGATATGTATAATATATAGCAAAGATACAACTTAGATGGAACTCCACACCGAGTGTTAATATAATCAAGTCACCATAGTTCAGTCTTTGTCAATGGGAACTTCTAGAGAAATGGTATCTGAGTTAGACCTCCACCAGAGAAAGTAAACCAGTACAGTTTTGCAGGCAGAAAACTGAACACGGTGATGAGAAGGAAGGTGGTACAAGAAACAACTTGGGGTTGGAGAGGTATTAGAATGCCATTGTGGATTGTAAAGAGCTGATTGACTCCAGATCATAGTTACTAGAGAAAAGCACTTGGAAGATCACTCAAGAGGCTCTTCTATGTTTCAAGCAAGGGGTGAAGATGGCCTGAGACTTGGTATAAACAGTTAAGTCAGAGAGAAAGGAAAAATTTTTGAGAGATATTAAGGAGGCCAGAGGTTATGACTAAATGACTGATTAGTGGATGCATGGGAAACTGAAGAGTAGAGGATGCCCAGATTTTTGGTTTATTCAAGTAGGTAGTTGATTATGCTGTTTACTAAAACAGCAAAGAATCACCACTAAGGCAAGAGAGCGTTGGTTTTGGACATTTGATTTGGGTCTTGTCCAACAGACAGTTGAACACGGGATCTAGAACACAGGAGAAAGATCTGGGCTAGAGAGATGGGTTTGAAATCCTCTCAGAGAGAATTTGTTGATCTTAGAAAAGCGTAGAGCTCTGAAGAACCATAGCACTTGGCTTATATTAGAGGAATATCTCAAAAGGGCAACTGAGAGTGCCCAGTGGGCAGGGGCATAAGTAGAACAGAGATCTTTTTATATCAGCATCCATGGCATTGCCTAACTTCAATGTGGCATCATATAAAGGGAATGGGGAAAAAAAAGTAGAGTCCAAACAAGGGAGAAAGCAAAAAACTGCATCATTTTGGTATTTTCTTTTGCCTGGATAGATATTTTAAATTCATGAATGCTATTAATGAAATTCTTCAAAGCATTTTTCTGTAGTACAATTCTAAATATGGCTTGTGTCATTTTGAACTGACCAAAAAATGTGGAAATGGTTGGGCTTTGAACTTCATAGACAATAACTTTACTAATCTCCCTAAAGAATTTCCTGTAGAGTCTCCACATTATCAGAGATAAAGTATTTGAATTTACATTTTTAGGCACCAGAGGGGAAAGTTTTTGTTTCTCTCCCCACCTCCCCCCCCCCCAGGAATTGTTTGTGGAATGGGTCATCTTTACTTTTTTTTTTTGAAAGTAGAAGTTTATTGGAAAGTAGAAGAGAAAGAAAAACTCCCCATGTGGGGAGGAATTTAGTATAGGACTAAATTTCATCTTTATATAAAAGCTTTATTACAGTTTTTCCTACAGAGTTTGATTTACCCATTTAAAGAGTGTGATTAGATGGGCTTTTCAGTATTTTCACAGTTTTATAACCATCATGACAATCTCTTTTGGAAACTTTTTTTCCGGTGGTGCCTGAGCGATAGCACAGTGGTAGGGCATTTGTCTTGTGCGCAGCCAGCCTGGTGAGCCAGTTCGATTCCTCCGCCCCTCTCGGAGAGCCCGGCAAGCTACCGAGAGTATCTTGCCCGCACGGCAAAGCCTGGCAAGCTACCCGTGATGTATTGGATATGCCAAACACAGTAACAACAAGTCTCAAAATGGAGATGTTACTGGGCCCACTCGAGCAAATCGATGAACAACGGGAGGACAGTGTTTGTCTGTGGTGCCTTACCTAGCAATATTCAGGGGTTACTCATCACTGTGCTTCGGGGACCGTATGGGATGCCAGGGATTGAATTTGGGTTGGCTGCTTGCAAGACTAGCACCCACTGTACTATATCTCAGGTCCTGTTTTAGAACAAATTGTCACTCCAAAAGAAACTCTTTTTGGACCCTTTAGCAGTCATTGCCTTTTCTTCCTTCTACCCCAGCCCTAGGCAACCACTTCACTTTCTGTTTCAGTGAATTTGCCCATTCTGTTGAGATTTTGTTTTTGTCTTTTGGGCTACATTGGCTGTGCTCCGGGCTTACTCTTGGCTCTGTGCTTAAAAGTAACTCCTGGTAGTGCTGCTGGGGAATCAAACCTGGACAACCTGCAGGCAAGGCAAGCATGTACCTCTCTACAGTCTCACCAGCATTCTGGACATACCACGTTAATGGAATCGTACATGTGCCCATTTTTTAGCACAGTGGGTAGGGCTTTTGCCTTGCACGCAGCCAACCAAGGTTCAATTCCTTCATCCCTCTCGGAGAGCCCAGCAAGCTACCGAGAGTATTCCAGCTGCATGGCAGAGCCTGGCAAGCTCCCCGTGGGGTATTGGCATATACCCCGTGGGGTATATGCCAAAAACAGTAACAAGTTTCACAGTAGAGATGTTACTGGTGCTCACTCGAGCAAATCAATGAATGATGAATAACTGGGGAGGACAGTGCTACAGTGCTGCATTGTTTTTGTGTTGTTGAGTTTTAGGAAAGTTCTTTTATGTAATCTAGATAATGATTCCTTTTCAGATGAATGACTTAAAAAGTATTTTTATCTTGTTCTGTGGGTTCTACATCTTTTGTGTGTGTTGGGGGGTACAGCTATTAGTGCTCATGGCTCCTCGTAGTGTGGTGCGGAGGGTTGCTCCCGGTACTGTTCAGGAGACGATGCAGTGCTGGGGAATGAAATCCAGACTTCCTGTATGCAAAGAAGCCCTTTGTACTGTGATAGTGTCTTTTGATGTATAGAAGTTTTGGTTTTGATGTAGTTCAGTTGTCAAGTTGTTGGTTTTTTTTTTTTTTCTTTTTGGATCACACCTAGTGGTGCTCAGGGTTACTCCTGGCTCTGCACTCAGGAATTACTCCTGGTGATGCTTGGGGGACCACATGGGGTGCCAGGGATAAAACCTGGTTGGCCACATGCAAGACAAGCACCTTACTGCTGTATTATTGATCTGTGCCCTTAATCAAAACACTTTAAGTTTTATAAATTTTAGATGAGTTTTCCCTGTGTGATTATACTACTATAGTTTAGGTTTATTATTATCTTTTTGGGGGAGAGGGGAGGACTTTTCTAGTTAATTTACTTTATGAAGTAATCACAAGGCTTTCATGATAAGATACTAAAGCAAGGTAGATTAAAAGAATTACTTCCTTTGATCTCTGTACCTCATAGGTCACTTTTGTTTATTTGTGTATTAAAAGTACATTAATATGTTTTTCTTTGTATTTGTGTGTGGTGTCCTTGCACACCTGAGGCATATGCTCAGCCACTGAGCTGCATCCCCAGCCCTTGCTTGCTTTGATAATTATCTTCTGAAATATTTCTGTGGATACTAGTTAGAATTTATTTTTAGGTATTCTTTTCCAAAACCTCAATTACATGTTTCTTATAATATTTATTCTGCTTTTCATTTTACTTCCTCTTTTTTGTCCTCTACTTTTTATTTTTCTTTTATTTTCTGTGCTCTGAAGAGATGGCTGATTCAGTAAAGACTGAGGTATATAGAAGTGGTCAGCTCTTAGTTTCTGTAGCTCCTGATTAAAGGTTGTGTATTTAGCACTTCAAGGAAAAAAGGGCAACACTTTTCTGCCTGGAGCCTTTGACTCTGCGTGTTCTGGGAAGTATTCTGTTAGTCTTTATCTTGTTCTACAATTTTCTCTGCTTTCTATCTTTTAGAAAATATCAGCTTTGGTGTTTTTTGTTTTTGGCCCTTACCCGGCAGTGCTCAGGGCTTACTCCTGGCTCTCAGGATCATATGCAGTGCCAGGGATTAAACCAGAGTGCAAAGCCACGTGCAAGGCAAATGTCTTAACCCCTTTACTATCTTCCCGGCCCCTACAGCCTTTAAATAGATTTACCCAGCCCATCTCATTACTCATTTCTCATGTGACTATCTTTGCTATTGATGTCATTGGGGGTTAGAGAATATGTCGTCTTGAAATGAAGCTGCCTTGTGCCATACTAGTACTGACAACAGGTCTATTTTTTCACTCTTTTTCTATTAGCTTTATCACAGAAAGGAGTTTAGAATTTGTGTTCACAATTCAGAGCTGTATCATTAAAACACGATGTTTCCTGCTCTGGAATATCTAGATTTCTTAATTCGAAGAGTAAGTCACTTTAGAAAACCTTCCTAATTAGTAACTTCCCCCCCAACAAGCAGAGATGACAAGTTCTCTTTCACTTACTGTGTGGGAGTAATGATAATAACATCAGACATTTATATTAGTACTTAATATATACCAGACATTATTCTAAATGTTTTATATGTATAATCCCACCTAACTCAATAACAGTAGCTACTGTTACTGTCCCTGTTTTACAGACAATGAAACTGAGGCACAGAGAGGTTAAAGAATTTGCCCAGGTCACATAGCTGGTAAGTGGCAAAGCCAGATCTCTCACACCGCCGGCCTCCAAGGCCACCCTGTTCTACTGCGCTCTGAAAGGACGTGTTTCGGCTTTTCTCAGGATGACCACATTGTTATCTTCCCAGTTTCAGGTATAAGAGAACCTTTATAACCTTTCTAGTTTCAAGTGTGTTCTTTGTTTTCTGAAATAGAAATTGCTGATGACTTTGTTTGTTGAACATCTTAAATGATTTAAAGAGGTCTGAGTCAAATGATTTTCCTCTTGGAGGTGAGGAGAATACCTCTAAGTGATCAGGCTTGGGCACTCCTGGCAGTTGTTGGCTTGGCTTTTTGGACTTGATGTTTAGTTGCTCCAGCCTAGTGCTGTAGTGTTGCTCGGTGCTGGGTGGTGCTGGAGCCACCAGGCCACACCACGCAAATTCGGAGACCATCAGGGCTTGCGTTGGTACTTAGGGACACATTGAGATTAAACTGTCCATGTGCTTCAAATATTTGAGCTATCTTCCTGGCCCCCTAAATTAAATTTTAATCTATTAGGAACTTTTGCAAATTACTGTAATGTTGAAAACATAAGACTTCCTGGTGCCAGAGAAATAGTACAGTGAGCAGTGCACTTTTCTTGCATGTAACTGACCCTGGTTTCATCTCTGGCATCACATATGTTCCCCTGAGCCCCGCCAGAAGTGATCTCCTGAGCTCAGAGCCAGGGGTAAGCCCTGAGCACTGCCAGGTGTGGCTTAAATCCCCCTTCTTCCAAAAAAAAAAAAAAAAAAAAGAAAAAGAAAAAAATTTTTATCTACTAAAATACACTTTTCTGTGAGTCTTAATCAGCTTTAAAACTTTTCAGTACAATACTTAAATTTTTAAGTCTTAGCTACAACTAACTTCTGAAAACTTTCACAATGCATATTGATTTTCATTAGCATGTAGATTTATAAATGGTGAATTTTTTTTAAAGTGAAAATAGTGCTTATTTACTTACTGGTCATACCTGGAGTAAGCTCAGGGCTTACTCCAGGCGCTATACTCAGGGATATTCCAGGCTCTATACTCTGTACCTGGTGATGCTTAGGGGATTATATGCAGTGCCAGAGATGCAACTCTGGTCAGCTGTGGGCAAGGCAAGTATTTTAACCCTGTGATGTCTCTTCCACTCTGAAATTTATTTTTAAGAAAACATAGAAATTGGGTACTGGGGGCAGGGAGATAATCCTGTCTGCAGTACCATAGGTAGATCACTTGCCTTGCACATGGCTGACCTGGGTTTCATCCCAGGCACCGCATATGGTTGCCTGATTCTCCACCAGGAATGATCCCTGACTGTAGAGCCAGAGGTAAACCCTGAGCACCATCGGGTGTGGCTCAAAAACCAAGACTCAAACAACAATAAAACACCCCAAACAAATTAATGGTCTGTTTATTTTTAAAAATTTCATGGGGGGGTTAATCTATTTTTATCTACAAAGGAAAACAGAGAGAGAGAGAGAGAGAGAGAATGGGAAGTAAGTTAACTAGAATAGGAAGTAAGTTACTTACCTTGCATGCAGCTGACTCCAGTTTGAATCCTGGATATCACAACATCTGGTCCCTTGAGCATTATCAGGGGTTAATTCTTTTTTTTTTCTTCTTTTTGGGTCATACCTGGCAGTGCTCAGGGATTACTCCTGGTTCTGCACTCAGGAATTACTCCTGGTGGTGCTCAGGGGACCATATGGGATGCCAGGGATCGAACCCAGATCGGCCGCATGCAAGGCAAACACCCTACCCACTGTGGTATTGCTCCAGCCCCCCAGGGGTTACTTCTGAGTTCAGAGCCAGAAATAGCCCCTGAGCATCTCCTGCAAAGGAAAACTAGTTATCAATAAAAAAGATAAAATAAACAGATATAATAGGTTAAAGTTGTGTGTGAGTGCGCACACAAATATAGTATTCAGTCAAACACATCTGAACCAATATGTTTGGGAGAACAGTCCAGATCAGTGTGACAAGGAGCACACTACTCTCTTCTTTGGTGGGTATCAGAAACTAGTACAGTTTAGTATAGGATACTAACCTTGCACGCTGCCAATCTTGATTAGATCCCCCACCCCCCCTCCAGTCCCCCTAGCCCTGCCAGGAGTGATCCCTAAGCACAGCTGGATATGGCCCAGAAACCCAAAAAGAAAAGAAAGAAACTAGAAAGATGTCCAGACATTATTGTTTGATTCTACCCAGAGCCAAGACGGCTATAAAAGCCCCACCCTAGCCCCAGTGTGTAAAAACTGGTACATCTCATTAAACTTTCCTGAACTTCTAGAGAGGAAATTGGTACCCAATGATCAGAAGAATCCTGTCTGCAGATCTTCTGCCAGCCTTTTGACCCAGCTGTACTTTGAACCCTTCTCAGCTGTGGTCTTCTCACTGAGTGAACCCACCTTCGCTTTGCACTTAGCAAAGCTTTTTATCTTATAAAGAAGGCCTACCTCAATATAACGATTTGTTTATAGCAACCTTCCTGATCTCCCTGTCTTTGCCCTTTTCCACATCTTCTAAACTGCCTAAAGGACTTATGAGTGCAGTACTTGTAGCTCTCACTATAATATGATCTTCTTGATCTTGCATATTTGAAAGGTCTTTGTGGAGAAAATAAGCAGTGCAAAGTCCAAACAAGCATCCTGGCCCTGTTCCATATGTCACTTGGTAGCTCACCTTTGGTGTGGCTAATGTCAAATCAAAATTTCCATTGTTTTTGGGACCATATCTGGTGATGCTTTTGGGCTACTCCCAGCTCTGTACTTAGGGATGCCTCCAGTGGTATTCCCAGGACCATGCAGTGCTGGGGATCGTTGTTAGACCTCTTTTGTGCCACACATGTTTAACCTATTGAGCTATCTCCCCTGCCCAAATTAAACTATTTTTGTTGCATTGTTTTACCTCAGCTGAGGGATTTTTGAATATTTGTATTCAGCTCTCAACATTATACCTGCTTTTGTAAGATTGTGATATGATTGGTTTATAGGTCACCTTTGTGGCCAATATAATTAAAAGAGTTAATATTGCAGTTTCACTCATTGTCCTTTAGTATTCCTAACTTTATCTTATTTCACCTCTTGCAGGAAATGACTTAGAGGCCTTACAAATACATCTGTGCATTCTTGCTTCAGACTTGACAATTGAGGGCCAACTGAATCTGGAAGCACTTACTAATGTTACAAGGAAACCACTACCTCAGCAAACAAAAGGAAAGTAGAAGATTTATAATTTATTACAAAGGCCATTGGAAAAACCCCAAAACACTCACTTTAAAAAATTTAAAGGAAATTTAGAGAGATTTGGATTGAGAAGCATTTGTAGGTAAATAGATTTGGCGGGCAGGCCCTGTCAAGATTTTGCAGAGATTTGATTTCCTTCCCAAGGACTAGTGTGAAATACTTTGGCTTTTTAAATTGCTGTTGATCAGCTTGTGGATTTGAGGTTCTAATTTTTCTGGTATATTGAAGATACATTATATTACACTGTATCACATTTTTTAAAGTTAAGTTATTTTTCTGCCATTGTAAATACAAGTATGGAAATATTCTTGCAAAGCAATTAGAGTAAACATTTTTCTCAAGCAAGCATCTTTTTAAGAGAGTGGAATGCTAGCAGTTCTTATGCAGCAATTGGGACACACTTATTTTTTGTCAAAGGTCCTGCTAATACTGAGACAGTTAGTTCTATCTCTTATCTACATTGGAACACGTGGACACCTGCCTCATGGAAATGCCTTTTTTAAAAATTAGGTTTGCAGAACTCCACTATTTTTATACCTAGCTACAGTTTTTTTAAAACATAAAGGAATCAGAACCTCTCCCTGCTCACGGCCCCTGAACAGTCCCCTTCCCGCATGTATTGCTGCAGTGCCCAGGACAGTAAAATGGACTACAAGCGGCGCTTCCTGCTTGGCGGGTCCAAGCAGAAGGTGCAGCAGCACCAGCAGTACCCTATGCCCGAGCTGGGCCGAGCACTGAGTGCTCCCCTGGCATCCACTGCCCCCCTGGGCAGTCTGACTGCTGCAGGCAGCTGCCACCACGCCATGCCCCACTCCACTCCCATTGCTGACATCCAGCAGGGCATTTCCAAGTACCTGGATGCCCTCAACGTCTTCTGCCGTGCCAGTACTTTCCTCACAGATCTCTTCAGCACTGTGTTCAGGAATTCTCACTACTCGAAGGCAGCCATGCAGCTCAAGGACGTGCAGGAGCATGTAATGGAGGCAGCCAGTAGGCTAACTTCAGCCATAAAGCCTGAAATTGCCAAGATGCTGATGGAGCTTAGTGCTGGGGCTGCAAACTTTACAGATCAGAAGGAATTCAGTCTCCAGGACATTGAGGTAAAGTATCATCTATGTCGTACTGGGGTTGACATATGTGTCCAGAGGTAAGTGAGCATGTCCTCTTTGTTTTTTCCCAATCACTGCAATGATGGTTGTCTTTCCTTTTGAATTTTTTTGGTGAAGCAAGATAGTTTTTCAATGAAAATTATTTAGAAAGGTGTGACTAGAGAGAAAGATGTTTATGAGAGAACATAGACTTCTCCAGAGTGGGAGAGAACATAGACTTCTCCAGAGTGGAGATAGCAAGAAGCACCTACTAGACAAACAGATGAGATAATGTCTTCAAGGGAGAACATGGGCTTGAAGAGCAAGCCTCACTTTTTTCCTATTGATCCTTTATTTGTATAAAAAATTCATGTATACTCAACCCTGGATTGTTTTCATTTCAAATTAATTAGGTTAAAGACAATTCTTAAACATACCAGTCTATAGTTTCATTCGTTGTTTGTTTTATTTCTTATTTTTGGGCCACACCTGGTGGTGCTCAGGGATTACTCCTGGTTCTTTACTCAGGGATTCCTCCTGGCAGTTCTCAGTAAATTATTTGGGGCTCATGGGTTTGTTGCAATGCAAGGCAGGCACCCTACCCACAGTAGTATCATTCTGAGCCCTGTGGTTTTGTGTTCTTTGAAATTTCAAATTGGAATTTAATTTTCAAATAATAATACTGTAGGAAGTATATAGTGGAGACTGAGAATACCAAATAGGACTATGAACTTTATTTGTGAATTATCATGACCTAGAGCTTTTGGTTGACTCTCCAACATGCTCTAAGTTTACAGGATAAATTTTTCTTTCTATCCCATTGGGGCCCAACCAGTGGTACCAGTGGGGGGAAGTGGGGGAGTGTTTGGGGAAAGGTTATGAGGTGTTTAGAGATTGAATCCAGAGGCCTACATATGTAAGGCATATGATTTATTGTTTGAGCCAGTACAGGATAAATTATTTTTTAGTTAAAAATTTACAGTTCTCCTTAGGATGCATTTGATTCTTATTGAGTACTTTTCTTAAGAGTTATAGAGAGTCTAAATAAAATAGTCTCCCTCTTTCAGGGCTGTAGATTACAATATAAGATTAGAACTGGAGATCAGAGGGCTGGAATGCATGCCTTGCAGCCATGGGTTTGATTTCTAGCACCTCTTGGTCCTCCGAGTAGCACCAGAATGACCCAGCTGACCCCCCCCAACACTGCTGAACTTGAGTTGTATTGGATGAGAGTATTACAAAAAAGTGGTCCCACTTAATCTGTGCTTGAGAGATTCCCTCCCCCCCAGAAAAAAAATTAGAGTATTTGATTGCAATCTGATTTCATTTAGAACAAAGCTAACATTTTTCCTTCCTACAATTAGGAAATGACTTGTTAAACTTCCATACGGTTATTGTTTTTTTTTAATTGGGGGGCCACACCCAGCTGTGCTCAGGGTTTACTCCTGGTTCTGTATTCAGGGATCCCTCCTGGTAGTCTCTGGGGACTGTATGGGGCACTGGGGATAAAATCCAGGTTGACCACATGCAAGGCAAACCCCTTATCTGCTGTACACTCTTTCCAACTCCTAGATTTTTTAAAAAAAAATTTTATTAGTGAGACACCATGAGGTACAGTTGTAGACTTACAAATTTTGTGCTTGAGTTTCAATTATACAATGATCAAATACCCATCCCTCCACCAGTGCCCATTTTCCACCACCACGGATCCCAGTATCCCTCCTACCCCCCATCCCCTCCATCCCACCCTGCCTCTGTGACAGGGCATTCTCCTCCGTTCTCTCTCTCCTTTTGGGTGTTGTGGTTTGCAAAAGAGGCATTGAGTGGCAATCATGTTTGGTCTATAGTCTATTTTCAGCATGCTTCTCCCATCCTGGGAGGATCCTCCCAACACCCTTTATTTGGTGCTCCATTCTCTATCTGAGCTGCCTTTTCCCCTAGCATGTGTGGCTGGCCTCCAAAACATGGAGCAAAATTCCTGGTACTAATATCGGCCATTCTTGGGTGTTAGTCTCCTGTTTTGTTACTTTATGTTCCCCAGATGAATGCAATCTTTCTATGTCTATCCCTCTCTTTCTGACTCATTTCACTTAACATGATACTTTCCATGTAGTACCGTTTGTATGTAAATTTCATGACTTCATCTTTTCTAACAACTACATAGTACTCCATTGTGTAAATGTACCAAAGTTTCTTTAACCAGTCATCTGTTCTCGGGCACTCAGGTTTTTTTCCAGATTCTGGCTATTGTAAACAGTGCTGCAATGAACAAACAAGTGCAGATGTCACTTCGACTATACATTTTTGCTTCTCTGGGATATATTCCCAGGAGTGGTATTGTTGGGTCAAATGGGAGCTCTGTTTCTAATTTTTTGAGAATTGTCCATACTGTTTTCCAAAAGGGCCGAACCAGTTGTCATTCCCATCAGCAGTGAAGGAGGGTCCCTTTCTTGTCACATCTGCACCAGCACCAGTTGCTTTTGTTCTTGTGGATGTGGGCCAGTCTCTGTGGTGTGAAGTGATATCTCATTGTGGTTTTGATCTGCATCTCCCTGATAATTAATGATGTGGAGCATTTTCTCATGGCCTTTTAGCCATTCGGATTTCTTCTTTGAGAAAGTTTCTGTTCATTTCATCGCCCCATTTTTTTATGGGGTTGGATGTTTTCTTCTTGTGGAGTTCAACCAGTACTTTGTATATCCTTGATATCAACCCCTTGTTGGATGTGTATTTGGTGAATATCCTTTCCCATTCTGTAGACTGTCTGTATTTTGGTCACTGTTTCTTTTGAGGTGCAGAAGTTTCTTAGTTTAAGATAGTCCCATTTGTCTATCTCTGTTTTCACTTGCTTGGCCAGTGGCATGACATCTTTGAAGATACCATTAGCTTCAGTGTCATGGAGCGTTTTGCCAACTTTTTCTTCAGTGTACCTTATGGATTCCGGTCTGATGTTGAGGTCTTTAATCCACTTTGATCTTACTTTTGTACATGGTGTTAGGCAGAGATCTGAGCCCACTTTTTTGCATGTAGTCATCCAGTTTTGCCAGCACAATTTGTTAAAGAGGCTTTCCTTGCTCCACTTCACTTTTCTTGCCCCCTTATCAAAGATTAGATGATCATATGCTGGGGGGAGATGTCAATATATTCAGCCCTGTTCCATTGGTCTACAGCTCTGCCTTTGTTCCAGTACCATGCTGTTTTAATTATTACTACTTTGTAGTAGAGTTTGGAGTTAGGGAGGTTGATTCCTCCCATTTTCTTTTTCCCAAGAATTGCTTTAGCTATTCATGCCAACCCCTAGATTTTAAAAAATTATTGTTTAAAATTGCAGGGACTGGAGAGGTAGTGCAAGATAATCAACTGCCTTGTATGCAGCTGACCTTCGTTTGATCCCTGGCACTACATATGCTTCCTTGGGCACACTCTTGAACACTTGAAAGGTGCTATAAGCCTTTCTCTGAAAATAGAGCACAATTCCGTATACAGCCAATGTTAGGGAGTTATATGCAGCAAGTAATTCTAACTGGAGTCTCTTTCAGTGAAAATTTGCCATTCCAAAAATAATTGCTTTGTTCATTTCTTTTCTGGTTTCTGAGGTGGACACCTCCCTTTCTTTTCTGTGGCAGAGCAGAATTTCCTGCCTAATAAAAGAAATGCCAGGATTTTTTCAGCATGAATATTTGAGGGAACCTTGTAGCCAGCTTTGATTGTCTTATACCAAGAATGGGATTGGGAATGAATATGAAGGGAAGTATGGCCATAGACTATACTCATAGTAGCTAGAAACGGGGTTTGCAACATTATATAAAAGAGAATTTTGTCTAAAATAAGAAATTTACTTCTACTCAAGTACTTTGTGTAAAGTCTCAAACTGTCAGCCAAAATAGTGAATTCAGTACAATTTCTTATATTGAATTTGTTCTTTGTACAGAAGTTGACATCATCCCCAAACATTTTTTAGAGCTAGGGCCTGTTATTTGTATCTTTTCTGATTTTCATCTCTGTTTGGAGATCTTTGTGATTGTGTTAATGCTGCTGTTCTGTAAAATGCCAGTTGAGCTGTCAACTGATGGCTATTTACCTCTCAACTGATAGCTATTTACCTCAGTTTCATTTGTCAGAAATTTCTTACTAGAGTCGTTATATGTTATTAAAATTCATTTTGGGGGACCAGAGCAATAGTGCAGCAGGTAGGGTGAACAAGTTTGATCCTGGCATCCCATACGGTCCCCCAAGCCCCACCAGAAGTGACCCCTGAGTGCACTGCCAGTAGTAAGTGCTGAGCATAACTGGGTGTGTACCCCAAACAAACAAAATTTCTTTTAAAATTTTATTTTGTGAGACCTGGTGGCCTTTGGGCAAGGAGCTCAAGACTCCACCGTGGCCAATTCCATCAGTTCTCACTGGACCTTAGGAATCTAGAGTATTCCACCATTCAAGTCACATCCCTGGCCCCTCATTTGTACTTAAAACATACAGTTAAAGAGGTATAGATAACTTTATTTGCTATTTATTAGAAAGGCATAGGTACCTTTTTAATAAACATCTGTTGCTTAAAATTTTCAACGTGATTAAAAAAAATTGACCTGTTCTTGCATTCATATTGAGCAAAACACATATTGATTGCCTTTGTGGTCCAGGTGCTGTTTCAGGCACTGTGGATACAGTAGTGAACAAAACCAGTTTCCTCCTTTATGTAGTTTAAAAGAGGGAGGTGGCATTTGAGCAAAAATTCTTGCAGGTGTTTTGAAATACTGTAGTCTGTTTATATAAATGTTAAAATATTATTAAGACTCCCTGAAAAATGCCACCAGCACCCCTTTTCCCCTTGCTGTCTTCAACCCTTGGTAGCACTTGGGACTGTTTTTACACTGGAACCTCAGTGTTTGGATGCTTGGACCTCTGGGCAGGTGAACTGCATTCTAGAACATTGCTTCTCATTCCGGGGCCATATGGCCTTCTTTGGATCCTGGTGATCAAACTTTCATGTTCCATCAGGGACACAGGTGAAA